ATTGTTGGTAGGGATGTAAAATGGGGCAGTCACCACAGAAAATAACTTGTTAGTTCCTCAGAATATTAAACACTGAGTTATCATATGGCTCAGCAATTCTACTCATAGGTACATACCCAGTACAATCAAAAATGGGTTGACACAGAAACATGTGCAGAACTATTCATGCCAGCATTATTCATAATAGCCAAAAGATGAAAATGATACAAATGTCCACTAACAGAAAAACAGGTAAGCCAAATATGGAAAATCCATATAACAGAATACTATTCGGCAATAAAAGAGTAATGACATACCAATACATGATACAATACGGATGAACCTTGAAAACATTATGGTAAGTCAAAGAAGCCAGTCTCAAAAGACCACATATTGTTTAACTCCAATTATATTAATTGTGCAGAATAGATTAATCTATAGACATAGACAATAGATTGGTGGTGCCTAAGGCTGGGGTAGGAGAGAGAGAGGACAGTGGAGAGTGGCTGTTAATGGATTCAGGGTTGCTTTTAAATGATGAAAGTGTTCTAAAATTGGATTGTGGTAATGATTTCAGAACTCTGAACATATTGAAGACCACTTAATTGTGCACATAAAAGTAATAGGAGTTATAATCTCCAAAATGATAATTTTAAGAACTTAGCTGGTTAAGTTAAAATAAAAGTTAAAGAAAAAAAATGATTCTTTTCTTCTATTCATAATATGTAAATTGTATAGCAAGGAATTAAATCTCAGTAAAGATCTTTTTTAAGAGTGAAATATTTTCCTGCAAACTGAATATATGTGTTATTGCATGTATATTCAGATTATTAGTGGGCTTATCTATTTTCTTAAATATAGAAATAATCTTAACTATTGTTGGTGTACACATTTATTCAGATATTTGTCATTATAATAATTTATTAGATATTTGTCAATATAATGATAAATGTGTTCTTTTAAAAAAATAGTTCATTTTTAAAATTTTTTTTTTAAAAAAAGAATGCATACAAATCTGAAACAGAATCTTTAGGATCAGAGAGCATGGAAATCCATACTGAAAATCAAATATACTTGCATGACAAAACAGGAGAATGAAATGGGAAAGGAGGAGAAAAAAACTTAAAAACTTAATAACATTAGACCAAGATTTATTTATCACACTCACCTTTCTTACAGTAGTGAAATATCTAGTTCTGAATCTCTATAAATGATAAAACAGCTATAGGATTAGAGAAAGAACAAGTAAGAGATACTTTCATGTGCAAGAAGAATTCAGACTTCAGCAACCACTAGTTTTCATTTAACTTTCAAATGCTCCTAAAGGAACATAACTAAAACTGATATGTAAAAATAAATCCCACCATTTTTTATAATTATAATGCACCAATTAAAAATGCAGGAATATGTGAATATTAAACAAAAAATACACAAAAATTAAGATACAGAAAAGTTATAATCTCCAAAATGATGATTATAAGAATTTAGCTGTCCAAAAGTTGAAGGAAAAAAGTATTTTTCTTCCATCTTCTTCCTAAACTTTCATTTAAATAAGTAGATTTGACCCTCTGTAGCACTGATCAAAAGCAACATTTGCCCATAGTCTACTCTCCTGAATCACCATAAATCAAACAAATGATGGCTTACCGTCTGTAATGTACTGAAGGAAGGCCAGGACTGATATCCATACTCAGAGA